TATTTATTTAAATTTGACCAGAGAGGGGCAGAGTAAGTGAAAGAGAGAGAGTGGGAAAGTGAGAGAGCAAGCCACCGGTTCCAGGACTTGAACCATGGTCAGCCATGTGGGAGCCCTGCGCTCTTAACGACCACACCAACTGCTGGCCCCATCCATGCCCTTTTAAGGTAACTCTGCAGCTCCTCGAATCTGTACTGGCCTTATGACTTGCTTAGGGGAACAGACTACAGTAGAGATGATAGTATACAGTTCTGAATCTAGGCTTTAAGAGGCCTTGCTGTTTCTTCTCATTCTTAGAAACTTACCCAACTAGCACCATGAGAACAAGCCTAGGCTAGCCTGCTACAGGATGTGTAGCTCAGTGTTCCTACTCCATACTAATTGCCCCAGTTGCCAGCCAGTCAAACTCAGAAACAGAGCTCTCTGTTGTCCTGTGGTTATCATAAGAATAAGGGAGACTGGCTGAGAATAGTAGAGCTGCCTAGCTGAATTCAGCGTGAACGACCTACTCACAGAATGAACTAAAATAATTACTATTTTAAGACATTAACTTTTGAAGTGTCTAGTTATCAGCAATAGTTAACGGATAAGCCATTTTTAATGATTAACTGTAGAATGAAAATTTCATCACACACCTCAGTCCTACTACATTGAATCACTTTAGATACTGGTTAATTCTCCAAAGTAGGCACTACTGCTGGGCTCTGCTGGGGAGGGCATGCTAGCTAATGCCACGGTCACAGAGTTCTAACACGTGACCTAAAGAAGCCTCTAATAGCAACCATACAAATAGCAGATGTCACTCTAACTACAAGTCTCTTATTCTATCTGAAACTAAGGAAGCTACAAGGTACCTTCATAGACCACAGAGACAAATGGGACTAAGCAGCCAGCCCTTTACTAGTCAATCAACTATTAAGTCATTGGAAAAGAAATGATGCATTTTTACATAGAGAACCATTTTTTCCTACAACCCAACAGAATGTCACAGCATCCCGACTACCTTACCTAAATTGTTTTAATGAGAAATTAGCATTGCTATTAGAATCCCTATTCTTTTTAGCTATAGTCCCATCCTCTTTACTTGTACCAATGTTACCCCTCATTGCACTCCAGTAAAAGCAGGGCAGATATTAACTTAAAAGATTAATTACAGACATGAGACTATGAAGTAATTTTTAAAAAACAAATATACCAGAACTCATGCATCGAGTATCAGGCTGAGTTCTAGGAGACGCTCTGGGGCAACAAATGTTTATCGCAACCATGCAATTTCTCAAAGACTTAGGACATTTTTTTTGGTTTGGATTTATCTTTTGTTCCTTTGGCATATCATATTTCTTTGAATAATAAGGTCAATGGAGGCATATTTTTTCCTTTGAGAGTGAATTTAGTTTTTAGCAACAATCAAGTGTTATTCAAAGTCCATTCAAGTTAACATATTACTGAGTGTGTGAAACCAGTTTGGTCAGAAACAACCTGGGAAAATAAATTGCAAGATTGAAATTCTAATTCTACTGTCATTAGCTGGTAGTTTAAAACTCTGAATGCGCAAAAACCTTCAATAACTCCCTACTGCTCACAGAGCCAATTTCAGACTTCTAGGACTAGCATCTAAGGTGCTCAACAATGTGGCCACAGCTTACCTATCCAGTCTTAACTGTACTTGTACAGTCTCTTCTCCAGCGAAATTGAGTCCCTCACTCCTCACTAATGTCCCGGTGCTTTCTCAAATGCATGTATCAATTTACCCTCTATGTTTATGTATTCCATACAGTGACTAAAACTGTAAATGACTCAAATAAGTACTTCCTGAATAAATAATATAAATAATTAATTCCTCAGGTGGCTCTGAAGGTAATTTCAAAAAGCCAAGTTCCAGAAACATTCTGAGTGAGGGAATAAGTGTTAATAGCTAGTTTTCAACCTGAATTTCAAGGATGAAGTTCTAAAATGTTAAAAAAGCAATTGTTTTGCAGTCATGTCTAATGACTACCTAAGAAAGCCTAGTGAATTAGGTAGAATCAGAAATGAACTAAAAACTCCAGGCTACTCCAGTCTACCTACCTAGACTATAGATAGCAATTCCACTGTATTTTAGACAGTGGGCCTTGGAGTTTTGAATTTCTTTAGTATTTTCTCCTTCAAATATCCAAGTTAAAAAATAAGTACTACTTTGATAAGAGATGACTAGGTCACAAATTATTACTAAGTATAAAGCCTCTCTAAGAATTTATAAGATCTTTTCCTCTCTGATGAAGCTAAAACCAATACAATAAACTGGGGATATTTCCTAAGCATTTTTGTAGTAAAATTAATTCATATTAGATTGAACCATATGAAATCACCATTTCAGTAGGTCAAAACATTTGAGTACCAACAATTTCATATGGTTCAATCTAATACTGCAGGATTTTGCTCACAAACAACAAAAAAAGCATCCTTTCCTTTTTCTTCGAATCCTTCACACATTCTAGAGAAATTTAATTCCTATGAACTTTTGACAACTTATAATAAAGAAAGAACTACATGAAACCTCTCTTATATATATTTTTTCCTTAGTTCAAAACACCTAGTTTCCTCTAGGAGTTGTATTCCACTTACCAGATTCAAGGTAATTGGCCTGTGGGTCCCCGGTGGGGTATTAGGTTTTTCCATCTACAGCTCAAATTTCTAGGTCAGATTGAAGCACCCCCTTTCCCATGTTCCATTTGCACACTACAAATAGGACATCATATCCAGGATTCTTGAGTGTTGTTTAATGCAAGAGGTTGTTGACAAAAAGGTGTTCTGATCACGATGATTAGCATGAGCATGGGGTGGTGGTGCTTGGTTTTATTCCAGTTTTTTTTTCCCTGCCCTAGAGTGTAGCCAGATGGCTTTAAGATCACCTCTGAGTCTTTTCAGAGCAGAAGAAGCCTTAGAGGCAGGATTCCTAATCCTGCATGTATGGCTAGAGTGATGAGGTAGTTTCCCTCCATCTTTCTGGGCAGCCACAACCAGGCCCTGTGAGGAGGGGAAAAAAAATGGCTAGAGGGATGAGGTAGTTTCCCTCCATCTTTCTGGGCAGCCACAACAAGGCCCTGTGAGGAGGCGCAGGTGCTTTGACTAACTGGCACACTCCCAGGCCACAGCCATACCACATGTTTAGAACAGAGGCTCAATTTTAATCCTTCTGAGACACCGTTTCAGGGATCAACCAATATACAGACATGTAATCAATATAATGCTTTTGTGTGCTTGTGTGGGTCTTGAATTGGTGAATTTTCTGAATTAGTATTTTTAGAATTTTCTACATAGAAATTCTTAGAATTACTGAAGACAAGTATAAATGCAATCCCTTTTCTGGTAAATGTTATTTCATGAGAAACACTGCATATATAATTTCAGCTTCAATGGTCAGAAGATCCTGTACTTTCAAGATTACTGTTAGAAATGCAAAACAGGGACAGCAAAACTCCATCATCCCACCTCTGTCCCCTCAGTACAGGATGTTTTCCTCCTTCAAAGGTATTTTATAACGTCTTTCATCCAGTGTATTTTACATAACCAGCTTTCTCTATTGCCTCAAGAAGATGACTGCAGTCTAATTAAGTTTTTCCCTGAGGAAACACCACCCCGACACACAAAGGCAAAACAGCAGTGGTAAATTGTAGAAACAAGACCAGTTCATTTTTATCAAATGAAAAACTATGAAAATGAAAAGTGCCCAAACTACCCCTAAGTTATTAACACGTAATGATCTGAAAAATCAGCAAATCATAGGAGACTAGTCAAAATTCTTTGTTCACATAGTTTTTCCCAAGTTCTGAATTCAAGACCCCACATTTCCCACTTTGACAGATGACTTTATCACAATCACATAAAAATAAGTTCAGAACATTCCACTGTACACAGTAGAGATGATGCTTGCCTTTGCCTGATCTGTCTCAGAAGCAAAGCCAAGGAGGAACTGAGTCTTACATGTTCATTTGCACAGGGCCCACTGAAAATTTTGATGAAGAAACTTGGGCTGGAATTTGAGAAACTTGAATGTTAAACCAAATTTCTAGTCTATTACCATATTATTTTTATTATAGTGGCTTTGTAGTAAATTTTATTCTGATAATGCAAACTCCCCTTACAAAGTTTCCTAGGCATTTATTCTTTCAATGCAAATCTGATCATGATTCTTGGTGTAAAACCCTGCTGGTGCTCCCCAGTGCTTACAAACTCCCTTCCAGGCTCTCACAAAACCGCAGATGAGCAGAGTGGAGAGTGTAAGTTTAGAGTCATAGCTGACGTTTGTTCATGCTGTAATCCCCATCCTCTAGTCCTTTAGCCAGTAGGATCCTGTACTTCAGGCTGACCCAACTGGAGATTCAAACTGCAGTTGCTATGTGGGATCTGCCTTCTCTCAGCAGTACATTGCTGCTGTGACATTGGACAAATATGCAATAATGGATCTGCCAGGGTGCTGTGTAAGAGGTCCCCAAGACCACCTCTAGGTTCTGTGATTAAATAGGAAGGTACACAGGATTCAATATACAAATGGACTTCAAAAAGTCTGTGGAAAAAAATGGAATTTGAGTTTATTTTGGTGCAAAAGATTTTGAAATCCATGTCTAACTTTTCTCATAATATGCATTTTCCATGAACCTTTTGAAGAACTCTTATACAATCACACTCTTGGCTATGGTTTATTATAGTCAAAGGATACAAGGCAAAATCAGCAAAAGGAAAAGGCTCATGGGATGCAGTCCAGGAGAGATCAGGTACAAACTTCTGAGAATCCTTACCCAGTGCATATGCAAGACATACTTAATTTCCCTACTAACAAGTCGTGAAAATGCACGTGAAACACTGTCTTCTACAGAAACTCATTAGACTCAGTGACTGTGAGCTGGTCACACAGAAACCCTCTAATTTGCACATACCAAAATTCCAGACTCTAAGAAAGAAAGCAGGTATTCAGCATAAACTACATTCCTTCTATAAACAGGTCAGGAGCAATGACTCACCCTTATCAGTCCTGAGAATGGTAGGAAACCTCCTGAAAATCGAGTTCCCAGATGTCGGCCCAGGGCCAACCTTGTAAGCAGGCCTTTCAGTCAGTTCTGCTATGATAAAACTTATTATTATTA